AAAAAAAAAAGAAAAAGAAAAAAAACTGCCTTGGAAGCTTCTTAAAGTATATAAAGAGAGAGTCAAGAAAAGCATAGACACCCCCATGTCCAAAACCCAGAACAGGGCTAGCTGTGCCCTCCATATGTGCCCATGGTTCCCCTGGTTTGCTCCTGTTAGCGCACCATATGAATCCCCTGTTTGCCCAATCCTTCACTATTCTGTAGGCAATAGCAGAAGAGGGAACAAATGCATGGGTCATTAAATGCAGAAGCACATGACAATGGGCTTAAAATACCTAAAAGAGACACTAAGTACGGAATATCTGCTCCTAGTACCTTCTCCATTTGCCTGGATATCTCAGTTTTCCGAATTTACAGGAATAACAGATCAGCAGATGGTGTAATGGTTAGGTCGCTGGACTCCCACATAATCGATTGCAATCTGAGTTCTGGACCTGGTGGCTTAAAACTCACTCCGGGCTCGTGTGTGTGCATGCCCAAGATTCAGAGAGGAACATGGAGAAAGGACTGATGCGTGGCCCTGGGGAGTAATTTCTTGCTTTCTGGCTGTGTCTTTCTGGCAAATACATGTGCTCAATAACAAAAATCTCCCGAAAAAAAATAAAAAAGAGTTTTAAAAAAAAGAATTCATAGGAATAAGAGTACCTACTGTGCCAGATACTCCTGACTATGATTTGATCGTCACAAGAACATCCGTATGAAATATATATTCTTATCTTTATATGCTAATGGGGAAATTGAAGAGCTGTGTAACCTGATCAAACTCTGCAAAGGCAGGATTTGAAACCATATCCGTCCCAGTTTGCATTTTTCCCCCTTCTTGGTGATATTTTAAGGACATTTAGTTGCTGCTTGTTCCTTCTTTTCTTTCTTCTCCACCTTTTCCTCTTCTTCATCCTTCCTTTTCTCCTCTTCCTCCTTCTCCTTTTTTCTTAAAAAAATTGGATTTTACTGGGCATACTGCCTTTTACGGGGAAAGTATATGTCTCTTAGGAATATCTTTACATGATAGACAAGCAAAAATAGAACGATCACACTCTCCATGTGAAGGGCTGATAGCCTAGCAATACAGATATTTTTATCTTGTGCTTTAAATAAATACAGTATTGGACAGGAAAAAAAAAAAAGACAAGAAATGAAGAAAATTCACTGCTCCAGGACATACCTAATCCCAAGGCAAAAAGTAACAATTCAGGAGGACTATCTGGGAGTAGTTCATTCTGAGAATCAGTACATTTCTGAGTTCCTGGAGAAAAGAAAGAAAAGTGTTATATTACCTAATTCCTTTCTGCAGTTTTGACTGGACAGATTTCCTTACTTCCTGCCTGAAATGGTTATGAGGTGTTACCATGAAGAACGAGAGGTCTGTGCTGTCTCCCGTGCAGAGGCAGGGCCACTGGAGGGAGAGGAGAGGTGCTTGTTCTGAGCTCTTATGACATATGTCATTGTTAAAGCACTCAGGGATAAAAGGCTACTGTGTGTATAAATTATTATCATTATTTCAGTAAGAGAAAGCATATTATTGCATTTACAGGATGTCTGAAAGCCCTGAGAAACTGGTTTGTGGTGAAAAGTGGTTTGCCAGAGCCTTGAGAGCCTGGGACAGACTTGGGAATGGTCTGATGGAGATACGGAAGACCTTGAAGTCCATGGCAAGTGTTGGAGTGTGTGCATCTGTGTATGTGTATATGCATGCATGACTGCTTGAGTGTGTGTGTATGTGTTCCTAAAACTAAAATGCTGTAGGGCCTGAGGTTAGAATTGTGGGGGGGAAGATGAAATGAAAGGATAGCATAACTACCTTTTGAGATTCTGGTGCTCCAGGGCATTTAGGTCCAGGAAAGGGATTGTTAGATGGGCCTTTGGGGCTTAAATATTCAGTAAAAAAACTCAGTAAACCATCTAGCTATTTCAAGAGGAACAAAATAACACACTGCCCCATGTGTCACCTCTATAATACTAAAGATAGGCTGCTTTTGACCTGAATTTACTCAGATAATTTACCCTATAAATATTTGTATTTGTGTTATGTTCATTATTTGTGTTCTGTAAAGGACAATGTAAAACTGGAAGTAAAAAGACCAACTTTAGGAAGTCTTGTTCTCACTGTTGAGAGAGTTTTATTTAAATAAAAATAACATTGATAAAGTTTGATTATGCTAGGAGACTTGGAAAAGTTCTTAGAAAATGGAATTAAACTATGTTTATATTGGCACCAAAAAATTGAAATCTGTGCATGATTTTGTCCATAATACACATCTGTCACAAACTTTTGGAAGATTACTCATAATGTAACCACAGACCCCACCCTAATTAACTCCCCAAAGCAATCAAGTAAAAATCTCCTTTGAAGCAAATGGGAAAGGGAATTCAGATTGGTCTGGGATTAATTTATTGCCCACTGCCCAAACAAAATGCCCAGGCTTTCCTTAGGGGCTCTAAAGTTGAGGAAGAAAGTCCAGTCTCTTAGTCTCATTTCCTGCATTAGCAGATATGGTACTAATTGGTAGTCTTCATGGTATTCTTAAATCTTATCTTCATATGTCTTATCTTTATAGTATACTATCTTTTTTTTTAATCTGAAAAGGTTACCCTCTGTAATTGTATTCCCTTTTTTTCATCCAAGAAGTACAAAATAAATCCTGCCTTATTTTTTAATTAATCATTTCCAGGACCATTTATACAATGGATTATATTTTACTTTGTCATTGCTAACTGTCTCCCAAACGAGTGTACCCTTTACTGAATAATAGCACTAGAAAGCAGGAGGAAAATGTACCTGGGAGACAGGAGGAAAATGTTTCCTAAGGCCATAGACGAAGGTGATTGAGTCCAGTGAGATGAACCTGACCACACAATCACATGGTCTTGATTCAGACCCACCTCTGCTACTACTTGGGTTAGGAAATTAAGACAGGTTACTTCTACTATCTAGACTTCAATTTATTCTAAAAAGGTTGGACTTAATAACCTCTAAGACCCTTTCTAGTTCCACAATTTTCTAAATCATACAGTATTTTTTTTTAGGCACCAATGTGATATGGAAAACCAGTCTAATCACTGTGTTAATATGACTGTCTGAGACATTTTAGCTGGGTAATGAAAAAAAGGGCCAGATAGAATTAATGTGAATAAACTTTTTAAGTGTTTCTAGCTTTCTTTACAATGTGCTTTCCTAAGGAAGGGACTTTTGTATTCTCCTAGACTTCCCTCTCCTTGAAGAAATCCATTTATAAGCATCTCAGACTTATACACTTGTCAGCTACTCATAAAACAAACATTGTTATTCTCCAGATTCTCTTTGAATCTCTCTTAAAAATAGCCAAGGAGAATTTTTTAAAAAGCTTTTTGCTTAAGCATTAGAACCTAAGCTGCAAACCTACCTCAGAAACACTGGGATACAGAGCCCCTTTGCAGAAATGGCAAAGAAGATCCATATGGTATGCC